GTTGAAATTTGTGTAGAAGAGAAGGAATTAACTTAAGCCACATATTGCTTACTTTAAATAGAAATGACCATCCTTTTTGAGACGGCCAAAAAAAGAAATTTGGCCAACCATTTTGGGACAGAGGGAGTAGTATTAATATACTTTTGTTAACCAATAAGCGGTTTGTAACTGTATTTTACTATATAAAACAATAGATTATTATTATTATTATTATTATTGTTGTTGTTGTTGTTGTTATTATTATTATTATTATTATGATAAAAAAGTTATGATTATGATTGTGATTACGATTATTATATTATTATTGTTGTTGTTGACTTGTTGTTGATGTTGTTTCTTTTTATTATAGATGGTTGTTACTATGAGTATCCTCTAAAGTTTGAATTCAATGTCTTGGAGAGTTGTAATTCTTAATGCCATTAATGGGATTAATATATCATACGTAATTACGTAGTATAAGTTTTATTCTCTAAAAAATATTGTGCTCATCAAAGCTTTTTAGCGTATAGTCTTAGCCTTAGATTTATTTTAATTTTTATTCTAATTGTTCATTCACTTTTGATTTCTTATAAATTGATTACGCTAATGAATTATATGTTATTAATAATATTACTGTTATTAATAATATTATTATTATATTTATTGTGGATTATTACCGTTGTTGTTTTTATTATTTTTATTATTATTATTATTAGACAGAGTTCTATTCGTATATATTTTACTACATTAAAATTTCATTCGCTAACCATTTGATAAGCATTGAAAAGTCAAACTCCTATTCTTATGTATCTCAAAAACATTGAATAAAATTGTTTCTTTTACGTATGAAATTTTCATGACATTAAAGTAATGATATTTATTATTGTTGTTAGCCAATAAGAGATTGACACGCCAGTCTTTGAAATTCAGCTTTACTATATAATACAATAGATTGTATTGAAAAAGTAAAAAATTAATCTAGTTTAAAATTGAGTTAGTCAAAAATTGGGTAGTGACTAACTCACTAAAAATTGGGTTTGAAAAAGTCCAAACCGACAAAACCGTACCAACCACACACTTAGTTTAAAATTAGCCTAGCAATGTTTAATCTAGATTGCGTGCGCTTACAACTAATAATTTATTATTATCGGTGTTTTAATGTTTTATTAAATTAAATAAGAAGTTAAAACTTATGGGCGAAATATTGAAAGGGGTTTTTACTTGGATATTATTAGAAATAATGACCGAAGTAAGAGCGCTAGCTTTAGGGTGGACAAGTTTGGTACTAATTTCTATCCGGACAAATATAGGACTACGGCTCATCCAAAATGTCACAAATGCCCTCACTAGTTGATACCCACTCCGTATAGTACTTTCTTCTCCAATAGAACACGCACATCTTTTTCTTCTTCCGTGAGTGAGTTTGTTCTCCATTGAAGCTTGCATTCTCCTTTTCAAATTGAAACCTCCCTCTTCTTCGATGCTTTCTTCTCCACCGAAAACAGTGACGTTCTTCTGCGACCTACAACCCAGTTCCCTCTTCGACGATTTTATTCTCTGCCAGTGGCGGCGGTGAAGCTGTACTTCGTTCTGCAACGTTGCTCTCTTCTTGAAGAAGACATGCACCCGACTTTGATGAAGATGACCGGCTACAGTTGCTCTATCGGCAAAGCAGAACCCAAATCCATGGTCCCCATGGACGCCCTCCAATTTGATGAATAGGCGGCGACGGCTGGGTAAGGGATGTGGGTTGGGGAGTTGGCGGAGAAGGTTGGGAACGGGCAGAGAAGGCTGGGGGCGGTGGTGGTGGCTAGGGTAGCAGGCCTCAATGGTGGTAGTGAGGCTGGGGTAGGCGGGAGAGAGGGATGGGGTAGGTTGGAAAGGGGGCAGGGGGTTGGTGTTGGAGACGGCTGGGGTTGGCGTCCGACAGTCGGGCGGTGGTGAACGGTAGTGGTTTCCGGCGGTAGTTTTCGACTTTTCGATAGTGGTTACTATTAGACAAGGCCGGTAATTACAACCGGTCCGCCTGGGGTAACCGGTCAATGTGGGTAACGGTAACGCTTACGTTCAGACATCTATAAGCGGATGAGTCGGGTAACCGTAACTGGTCGGATCAGATAATTGTAACTGTACGAATCATGTAACTGTAACTGGACGGGTCGGGTAACTGTAACTGGACGGGTCGGGTAACTGTAACTGGATGGGTCGGGTAACTGTAACTGGACGGGTCGGGTAACTGTAACTGGACGGGCCGGGTAACTATCACTGGACGGGTCGGGTAACTGTAACTAACGAATCAGATCGGGTAACTGTAACTGACGAGTAGGGTAATTGTAAGTTGTAACTGACGAATCGGGTAACTGTAACTAGGGATTGCAGGTAACTGGTGGGACGGGTCACTGAAAGTTTTCTTTGTCACTGTCATTTTTTTGTCACTGATAGATTTTTGGTCTCTTATGGAGTATATTAATAACTGAGACGATGATCACTTGAGCGATAATGATTGAGGCGATGTCACTGGACCGATAATAATTGGAACGGTTGTTATTTGAGCGGAAGTAGTAGTAATCGGGTCGTTGGTCATTGAGATAGTTGTCTAACAATTTTCATATCTTAATACTTTGTAAGTCTGTAATTGTATTTAGAAATAATACTACTTATGAAAATATTACAATAATATTATAGTCATTATTATAACGGAATATTAAAAAAACCCACTAACGGAATGCATTAAAAAATTATTAAATAGAAAACAAAACATTAGTTGTGCTTGTGAGAGTTACCGTGTGCAATTAGCAAGTTCCATCACTTCCATGCGCTGGAATGGTACGGTGCTCCAGGCGTACGAAGGGTAAATTGGTGAGGAAAATCTTTATTAGTCTCATTATTGGAAATTAAGAAAAAAGGTCTCTTTTTTGTCCATTACCTATTTTTTAGTAATATTTGTGCCAAAACCCCATATTATTACTAATTTCGAACTAATTACCCAAAAAGTGATCACTTTTAAAAAGGGGCAAAAAAGTGATCAAGAAGGTCATATATGTGCAATTAGAAAACATGATGTAACTGCAAAAATTTTATGTCACTGCGTGTTCATTTTTTTGTAACTACAGCCACCACCCATGTCACTACAAACACCGTCCGTTTCACTACAACCACCGCCCATGTCACTACAAGCACCGCGCGTGTCATTGTGACCACCGCTCGTGTCACTGCAACCACCGTCCGTATCACTGTAGCCACCGCCCGTGTCACTTTAGCCACCGCCCGTGTCACTTTAACCACCGTTCATGTCAGTGCAGCCACCGCCCGTGTCACTATTGTTCCAGTGACTATCGTACAGTTACTACCGTCACTTACAGTTACTCGACCCGTCATTTATTGTTACACGACCAGCCAATTACAGTTACCCGACTAGTCCCAAACTCCAAAATCCAAATTATTAAACGCGACCAGTTATAGTTACATTGTTTGACTATAAACTATTACTCGATGTGATAGTGACCACCGCTACCACCGCTAGTTAATGAACTCCACCACCATGTCACTGCCGTAGTGACAACTCTGTAGTGACATTTCAATAGTGACATCTCCGCCCCAACCTCCGATCATTTCTGCAGTGACATCTCAGGCCACCACCGTCGACGGCCACAGTGACACGCCATCTATTGTGTGCCCAGCCACCAACCCATGCTCCTCACAGCCCCCATCCCTATACCAAGCCTATTGGCCATCATCGCAAACCACCATCAACCCTAGCCGCCAGTCAACCACCAACACCGCTGCTTTCGATTTGAACCGTAATAGTCGGATCTAACACTAGCTTGGTTGCGATGGAGATGGGCGGGGCTGGGATTGACGGTGGAGGTCACGCGTAGGTTGTGTGACGGGGCCTTATGGTGACGGCGACGGCCATTAGACTCCATCTTCATCCCATCGAACTGACAGAAAGAGAAGAAACAGATGGTGGCAAGGTCGAAGATGGCAACGGCGGGATGTTCGGTGGTGCTTGGAGAGATGCTACGCAGGAGAGAGACCGTGAGGAGTGATTAGTCCCTTAGGAGAACAGAAGAAGCGGACAATAGGCCCAAACGATTTTTTTAAATCTGATCACTTTTTTGTGATTTTAGAAAGCACTCATATTTTTGTCTTCTAAAACTCCCAGAGCAATATTTAGGCCATTATTTCATATTGAAATGTCAATGTAAGATAATTGGAATATAATTTATAACAGCAATTAAAGTATAAATAATTTCAATGGAAACATACTCCACTTTATTAGATGTAAAGGAAATACTACCTCCGTTCTCTTTTAATTGCAACATTGGACTTTTTTCACTATTCACATATTCTACTTTGATTATATTTTATTAATTAATGCATTATAAATTAAATTTTTAAAAAATATTGTTAAATTCTTCTCATTCTAAGTTTTCAAAATATGAATTCTTTAAATTTTTTACTAATAAGGAATAAAAGATATTAATTGTCAAACTTGTACGTTGGCAAACGTGAAATGTTGACTGTTGCAATTAAAAAGGAATGGAGTAAATATGCACTTTAAAAGTTCATAAACGGGGCAAAATGGGAGATATTGAGGTTGTTTGCTTTATAGCCACTAGTGGAAAAACGCCAAATAGAGGCGCTTTTTTTGGGGCACGCGCGGCGCTTTGAAGCGCCTCCAACAAATGTGACGCAAATCCACAATGGAGGCGCTTTTTAGCCAGAAAGCGCCTCTAATCTTTATTTTTTATTTAATTTAATTCGATTATCTGAGTCACTTCTGACTCAAAAAGCGCCGCACGCACGTATTGTTTTTTAAATTTGCGGCGCTTCTGTAATGACAAGCGCCTCTGATATTCTTTTTTGCTGGCTGATTTTTAAAAGTTGTGCGGCGCTTTTGACAAAAAAAGCGCCTCCGAAGTCTACCACGAAAATTGTTTTGAAGGCGCTTGTGTTTGAAAAAGCGCCTCCAATTGTTTTTTTTTTAATATTATTTTTTAAAACGCCATATCACCTGTTTTATTTACATAATTACATATCAATCACCAGCCAAAACTACACATTCATTCATAAATCCTGGATAACATGATACATATAGAATCGTTTCACACAAACTAAACTAGAAAAGTAGTTCAAATTTGTATCACAGTAGAAATAAATTACATTCAAGTTTGATTCATGTTAAAAATTCCACTACATATTCATAACTTCGTCTACGAAAAACCTAGCCCACGCATTTCTGATATCATTAAACTCCTCCGTAGTATATGGTTCACTTCTTGAATTCCAAACCTGAAAAATGTTCATACATAAGAAGAATAAATATAAGATAAATAATGAAAAAGTAAATTATAAATAAGTTAAATATATAAGATAAATAATGAAAAAGTTAAATTATAAATACCCACATTCTGTATTGCCTGTTTGTCTTGCACACTATATATTATATGAAAAATATAAAATATTATTTCATAATATGAATCTTTTTAAATTAAAGCATAACTTGTGTAAATAAGAGAAGATGTATGATGATATTACCTTGACATTATGCCATTTGATTGATTTGCCACGACCTTTTTGAGTAGAAGCAACTCTATACATCCTATAATGATAACTCAATGTTTACATATATATACATGCTCAATGTTGACATACAAATATAAATGTTAAATATCACAAGTAAGTGATTAAAAATACATACATCGTAAGATCATCTTGAATAACAAAATTGGATGAACTTGGCAATGAATTGAATATATAGCCCTTATCAACCTTTGGACAAATTACAAATAAAATCCAATGATACCTATATTTCACAAGAGAATAGAAAATGGGTAAAAATACTTGTAAATACATTAAAGAGATCAGAATGTAATATTTGAATCATACCCTTCATTATATGCCAAGAGAATGAGATTCTTTTCAAACATTTGAACCAGAGCATGCTTCAAATAAGTCCGTGTGCCTTTTTTATGCAATTCATAATACTACAAAGAACAAATTAAAGGACATAAAAGAACCACATCATCACGACCAAATTCAACCAATTTTGCATTTAGGCAACTGCACGTGAAATTATGATATCAATAATAATTAACTAGTAATTAAGTCTAACAAATATTCAAGAGTATTTATAAACTTATTATAATACTTACAGCATAAAGGTCTGAATAATTGACATATCAATAGAATCACTCTCAAGAAATTGACTCAAGTCTTGACGGTCACCAACGATCCCAAATTGGCTATCATCAATATAACAGAACAACTCCGCAGGAAGAGGAACACTAAACTTACAAAGATCGGGCTCATACCACTCAAGATTATCATGCAATCTTAAAAGATCACCGCTAAGTGAATGAAGAACAGTTTCACTGACTAATGAATGTGAGCTGGGTTCAACCGTTACTTTCGGTGAATCTCTCAAGATAAAGGGTACTTTTTGCTTAGCCTCATTCCTTTTTTTTGACTTAGAAGGTGCTTCCTAAAATAATTATTATAGTAAAAAATATGAAACAATTTCATATATAAATAAGCATCAAATGTAAAAAAATGAAACAATCACTTCATTACCTCTCCCTAAAAAAAAAAACTAAATGAGATGGCCACTGCACATATGAACCTACATCATCTGCTACAACACAGATATCAGCGGCTTCATTAGGTATATATGCAACATCTGATTTATTTCTTCAACAAAAGACATTAGCTATCTATGCAGCTATGCTCTCATGATGGTATATAATTTAGCTGTTTAAAACTATTATAATTACCAACAAAATGATAATATAATGATTTCTATCATTCATATTATATACTAGTATATAGTATAGGCTATTTTAGAAACTTATTACAGAAACAGAGTAAGAGTGTATAATATAGGCTGTTTTAGTTTGCCAAAAACAATACAACAATACAGGCTGTATATATACGAAGTTTGCCAAAAACAAAATTCTGTATATTTCTATATTAGTTTGCCAAAAACAATACAACAATACTCTTACTCTGTTTTAGTTTGCCAAACAGAGTAATATAGGTTGTATAATTACGAAGAACAATACAACAATTTAACTTTGCTCCATTTGTTCTTCTTTCTCTTAATCAGAAGATTATTGCTAACTTTAACGAATTAGTTATTAATTAATGATTATTCATAATTATATTCAACATACATAGAAATATACTTTAGAAAAATAAACTAAAATCATTAAAAAATCAAATCAACCAAAATATGTGAAAAAGTGAATGAAAAACAAATACCTATGTAGAAGAGGCAAGCGGCAGAAGTACTTGACGGCGAGCTGGAGAAGTTCACAACTAGCGGGAGCAGACGACGACGGCAACAGAGAGCACCGACAGCAGCGACGCAGACAGCAGTTCAATCGCGCTAGCTGGTTCAGAGCGCACCGATAGCAGTTCAATCGGTTGTGGGGACGGCCGCGGCTAGCTGATTCAGTCGATTCTCAATCATCGGTTGTGGGAGACGGCCGCGGCTAGCTGGTTCAGTCGATTCTCAATCATCGGTTGTGGGCGACGGCCGCGGCTAGCTAGTAGATTCTCAATCGTGCGCAATAGCGTTGTGGGCGATGGGCAGATCTCGGCCGCTGTTAGCTGGATTGATTTGGAGGCCCTTTTTGTCTAGAAGCGCCGCACGTGAGGTTCATATATTTAAAAAAAAACGTAAACGAATTGGAGGCGCTTTTGAGTAAGAAGCGTCGCACGGCTCATTAGTTTTTTAAATATAAATATAATTCCGGAATATTTTAGAGGCGTTTTATCATAAGAAGCGCCGCACGATTCTGTAAAAAATATTGAAAAATAAAATTTCGACTAATAGAGGCGCTTTAACTTAAAAGCGCCTCTAACGAAGCGCCTCTGTTTGACGTTTTTCCACTAGTGAGCGTTTTCAGCCAAAATGGTCAAAACAGTAGCATTTATTTTGTTTAAAAATTGACGTTTTGCCCCAACAGGTAAACTAATTAATATCCAAACACAGCCTTTCCCCACACGTGAAGTCCAAATTAATAAACATGCACCAAACCGATTATATTGTTTGCGTTCGATCGATCGAGATTTACCTGTTATTATTTGTGTAACGTTTTTTTTGTTGTAGCCTTGTAGAGTCCAATTTATTTATTCAAAGTCCTGTTTTGCAATTTGCAAAGGATAAGTACTAAGTAGAAGCCCGTAATTAATTAGAGTATAGAGATAGATCTATCTAGAGTCGGTGTTGAACTCTATTTAATGGTAATGGTAATCTGGGACGAATTCATTTGAAGCGAGTTACTTGCTGATAATCCGTGTAATACAATACAATGCAGGGCACAGCCGCCGACGCGTTATTAATGTCATACAGCCACCGTCTGGGGGACTCCGGCGGTAAAATCAGCATAACGGTAACCGCCGTTTACGAGAAAGACGATCCAACACTTCCAACTTTGCTCTTCAAAGATACTACGAGGTATCCGAGCACTGGCGGAGCCACACTTTACATTGCCATCAACCCTATTAGTAGCAGCAACAATAACGATGAAGGTATTGTCATCTACCGAGCCGCTCCGGTTGAAACTTATATGCGAGTATCAGATTATTCTGAAAGCCGGACATATTTCTCAACCAGCATCAATGCTCGTTTTCTTACTCTCAAAGTACTCTTCGATGTCGATGCCCATCCCGAATCGGCGTCCAAGCTGGCGGAGGAAGTGAGAAAAAGCTGGGTGGTTTCCCGGAAACAGCGGCGTGTAAATACGGTTGCGTGGGATGATAACAACCTGCTTGGAATGAGGTCTAGTTTTACGGACTACCGCGGACAATCTAAAGAGAATATTTGCGTGGCTATGGATTTTTTATCTTTTGGATCGCGTAGAACCATCATGAAGAAGACCACATCCCCAGCCGGCGGAGGGTTTCGTGATGAGTATCTCATTCTATGCGCTCTCAGATCCATTCTCACCGCTTTAGATTTCCTTCACAACCTAAATATTTGCCACATGGAAATCAATGCCGGCCATGCTTACCTTTGTGAGGTTTTCCATCGTGGGTACTACGACGACGAGCCTCGCCGCCCGGTTGGGTATATGTTCAAGATCTGTTTGGGTTACGCCGCCACCCTTTTTGAGGATGGCGAGGACGGTGACGTTTCCTCGACGTCCCCGTCTTTCTTGCCTGTGCGGCGGGTGTCAGACTGGGCTGCGGCACCGGAAGTCTACCACGGCCACCAACCCTACACCCAAAAGGCAGACATATGGCTCGTGGGAATCACCGCCTTGGAGCTCGATTATGGTGGGCTCAGAGTGGACGCCCGGGAAACCCTAGATGACTTCATTACCGAGATACAGGTCATGAAGAAACTTCCTAGCAGAAAGGATATTATTTATGAAAAAGGAGGTGTGATCACCGTTGAGGTTGTTAAGAGGCTGCGGGCTGTGAATCAAGAGAGGAGATCGGCGGGGAGAGAGGATTTTAGTATTAATAAGGTGACGAATTCGGTAAAACATTATTTGAAAAGTAAGGTCTTGAACCTTTGGCTGCAGGAGGGGGAGGACTTGATGGTGCCACTAGTTCCATCGCCGGCGGCGACCTCAACCGATGATCGGGAGTCGCCGTTTTCCGAAGAGTTTACAAGGATAGTTATGGAGTGTTTGGCTTGGAGTCCTAAATTGAGGCCTAGTGTTAGCACTCTTCGCTCCTATAAATTCTTTCGAAGGAATGATGCGTTCGAGGATGGAAATTATTTCCATGCTAAGACTACATCCAAATAATGCTTGTACTTCATATACCATGTCTCTCTCTTAATTAGTTTTTTCTTTCGTAAAGGAGAGTTGTTTCTATATGATATGAAGTATTTTGGGAGTATAGTTCATACTGATATGGCTGTGGTAAAAGTGAGATATATGTGTACATTACTATTGTCTAACTTCATACTGATCTGGCATGGTCTGACTGAAACAAATCTAAGTGAAATCACCTTAAATAGATATTTTAAGAATAAAAATGTTGAAGTCTTAAAATCTTACTTAAGTAACCATGCAGTCACATTTTGGATAAGTTTTTACAGATTTTATTCTAATGAATACTCTTGCAAAAGGAAATGAATAACTTACAGCTTGTAAAATTGACAAAAATAACACAATTGATTATGAAGCTGAAACCCATTGGTCAATTAAAAGTAAAAAATATCAAAAATTATGAACAAAAAAAATAGTGAAATGATATCTCGGGAGACTATGAACTTGCATTTGACTCTGGTTCGTAATTGTCTGAAGAAGAAGGGGCTGTCCAATATTGTTTGGTTGCAATCAGAATCTTCTCCCTCACATGAGGACTGTCTTCATGATCGGCCATTTGGTTTTCCCATTGAAGCCCATCAGCTATGCTTTTAACGCTCACCATTACATCCACGTCATCTCGGATGATAACACTTCCTTGGGGCCGCAATATCCTATCCATCTCCAACAAAATATTTTCAATCTCGCATCTGTCAAAATGCATAACATTTTATTGTCACTTGGAAGCAAGACAGTAATTTTTATTGCATGTTAGTATATGTATATAGTAAGACTTAAAGTTCTATCGTAAAAGATCAACTTAGATGAATACATTAAGATCTTAAATGTTGCTGCTAAGGAATAGGTTTAAATAGTATACCTGTCTTTGTAAAGAGAGAAAATGCCATCCGCATGAATGAAGTCATATGTTCTTGGATAAGTTGACATGGCTTCACACCTAAAGAAAATTTAGTTCAGTTAATTTGCAACATTCTCAATCAGCTTTTTGAACAAGATCTTTAAAAGCGGTACCAATTGTGGTAAGTCCCGATCAGACCCCGTTCAAATATAACGCCAAGAGTATTCACTTTAGCCTCAACGGGGACAACGTTCATCACCCACACCGGATCATCGATAAGTGCAGCAGCAAATCCTCCCAACTTAGCATTCATATCGAGGACATTTCGGTACCTACCCTGCTCTGCCAACTGAAAATCCACACCCTTGTAATGGTCTACTCTCTTCTTCCATAGCAGTGTATCTTTGTTTAATGTTTCTCCAGTTATTCCTTCAACGCTTCCGCTACTGATCCTTGGAGGTGTTGCAGTTAATCTTTCAGGCCATTTAGCTAAGTCCCCACCCGCAATTTCTTTAATATTGGACACTTCAGGCAGGGGACTCAAACAAGCTTCCATCTTGGTGTACCTGGTAATATATTTACACTAAAGTTTCTTTAAAATGTGTAAGTGAACATTGAAAACCCCCTTAAACATTTCTACTTAAATACCCATTGAAGAAAATATTTGAAAATTAATTGTTTAAATTATATGACCAATAACCAACACAGTTAAAAAGACTTTGAGTTGTGATCGTTGGTAATTGTATTGGTGACATTTAGGATTAAGGATGTCTAAAGTCTGAACCCCTTGACACTAAGGGAGCATGGGTGCCCAAAGTTCTTTTCGACTCATTGTTGGGAGGGACAATCATGTTGTTGGTCTAACGACAAGAACCCGGTCATGCGGTATGCTCCATGACTAAAGAAGATCTGTTTAAGAAAAACATTAGTACATTACCATGCACTATCAGGATCTTGTCCCTGGCAGAAGAGTGGTTTCTTAAAGACCTTCCTAGTGACTTTGCAGTGCACATGATTAGTAGGTTTCTGCCAAATGGAAAGATCTCCTTTCTGAACTACTTTTTTCCAGCACAAACTTTTTGCAATACTCTCAATTTGATCTTGCTCTTCCTTCAAATCAGCCCTTGTCCTGTTCCACCCTCTCCAGTGTGTTTGCCAGTTAATAGGCGGCCCCGAGAGAATCCAATACCCACCCGGCCGTAAAACTCGATCTACCTCGATCAAGTAAAGCCCATCTGGAGGAAATTTAAAATGTATTAGAACTCATACCCACAGTTGACAGTTACCATAAGAAAAACAAGAACATAGCTTTACTCAGAAATTTCTGTGAACACTTTTAAGGCTTGCCTTGACATCCCTATGGTAGGTGAAACTAGACACTAAACCAAACCAGTTGACCATGTTTGGTCGGATTTTGTCAGTTTCGGTTGGCATTTGGATGGTTCCCATAGCCAAAAGCGTAAACTGCAAACTGAACCGCCTATGGTTTTATAGGTTTTGGTTGATCCAAGTTTTGGTTGGTTCGGTTTAGGCTACGGGGCTACCTACAGCTAAGTAACTTTTAGAGAACTTGGCTTAAATTTAAGAAACAAAACGACGTTTATTTTGTAATTTACCATATTGGCCCCAAGGAATGAGACATCGTGAACAATGAGCCATGTCGAAAGCTCGGGAAGGATAGGGCAGCCGCTTGGAAGCTAAGAGACCAATGGTTGCAGGAATGCCCCTCTCTAAGGCAAACTGCACTTGAGCTTCATGTGTGTCTTTAGGTGCAAATGATAAAGGCAGTATGTCTCTGGACAGTAAGTAGGCTCCCCAACTAGCAACCTGAATTGCCCCAAAAAGGAAAAGAAAAAAACCATTTGTTTAAACATGATGGCCAAGCAGTCAAAAACCTTGGATCGCATTACTAATGTGATGATTGTGTTCAACTAACTTTCATCTAAAGTCAACCTCCTTTAATTTGAACTATGCAAAGAAAAAATATGCTTCAATGATGAAAGTTCATAAATTCCTGCTATGGATCTAATTTCACTATTAGGAACATTTAATCGCAATTTATCAAACGCATGCCAACAAAAAGGTGAAAAACCACACCTGAAGTCAATATCACAACTCTTTCAAGAAATGGCAATATCAAAACCATTCT